GCAGATATAAGCATCAATGTTAACAATTACATTAAATGTAAATGGTCTAAATACATCAATTCAAAGGAGAAGTTGGTGTAGTAGACTTTTTTTTTTAAAGTCCTGATTCTGTGCTATTTAAAACAAACTCACTTTAACTATAGTTGAAGTAACTTTCACATTAAAGGAAGGTAGAAGGTAAAAGTTTTTATTTAAAGAATAATGACCACCAGTGGGTGAACAGATGAATGCTTCGTGGAGTACCTTCATAATTAAACACTGCTCAGACTGTCTACACACCCAACAATGTGGATACATCTCAAAGTTACTATGCTGAGTGAAAGAAGCTAGAAAAAAAAGGAAAACCTCCAATACACTTCCATTTATATTAGTTTATACAAAGCTCAGTGTGCACCTCTAGAGAACATATCTATGCTTCCTTAGGGACAGATATGGAGGAATAGATGGATCATGAGCAGTCGTGAGGAATGGTGAAGGATGTGATAATTTTGATGTGGTTATGGATGTATATGCACATCACATTTTATCAAACGGTACACTTTAGTGAGGGAAATATATGCAGCTTATTGCCTATCAACTGTCTCTTAATAGCTCCTTTTAAACTTAGTGGGTACAAAATACGAATATACACAGATTCGAGAGGGGAAAATGGACTTGAGATTAGATACTTCTAATCTGTGCAGGCTAGATACATCTACTTCAATTTCACTATATTAAAAAGTAAAACCTGAAATTCAGTCTGTATATAGTTACAAGTTATGGGTATTTTTAACTATCACATTCTTGAACTGTCTTTTTGAGTACTAAGTTAAAGGCAGAATTCTCCTAATTGCTAGTTTGTTGAAATGTAACTCTCTCTCCTTTTATTCATTTGTTTTTTTCTGTAGATGAGAATACTTATTTTTCTACTTCTTATCTGGTTTAATACCATCTCTGTAAAATCTGGTGAAGAGCTTAGAAGCACCTGGTGCACCTTGGGACCTAGAACTCCCTGGGGCCCTCTCCTTGGTGCCATCTGGCACCCACATGGCAGATGCGAACCAGGTTCTGATTTACACGTTTCACCCATCCTCCTTTTTGGGCAGGCATTGCTTAAAATAAGAGGAACTAAATGACAGATAACAGAAGGATGAGTCTTTCAGGATGCTTTGGGAATCACTAAATGAATAAAAGTGTATTTTCAGGAATAAGTCGCAGCCTTGATCTCATGACACATTGGTTTGAAGTATGTTTAAAAGCAAATGGAAATTAAGGAGTTCCCCACAATCTGTGAGGAAAGCCACCTGAACATCTAGATAGAAACACACATGTGTGCACCTGTACACCTGTGCACACAGGCATGCAAATGATC